TGCTTGCAATCCCAGAATTAGAAGGCCCACATGGGATTAGGGTTTTATTTCAAAGAAGGCCTTTAGCTGAAATGAAATTCTTTCCTGGATGCACTAACATATCAAATCACTAATAGCCATAAAGAAATTAACATGAACTACTTGGTAAGCTGAACTTTTGTCACTAGCAGAGAAAGACGATTAGTGGAATCAAAATGTAGGGCAGGAAAGTTTTTATAAAGGTGTGAAGGCAAGTTGGGTCAGAGATGTTGAGGCGAGCAAATCCAGGCAGGGCAGGTGTCAAGAAGTGCCAATAAAAATAAGGGCTGTCAATAAAGAGGAAAGGGTACAGAGGGGGCAGAGATTACACTTAGTCAAAATCATAGTTTTTTTTTTTTTCCAAGAACTGACTTTTCATGTAATAGCACAAAGAGTATAATTTTGAACTTTGTATTAATGAATCAAGGTAGTAACTCAAGTAACTAAGCAAAGTTATGATCTGTAAATACAAATCAGACTTTTTTTCTGCAGACAGAAATAATAGTGTAACCAATAAAACCTGAACTCCACTCACTGTTTTATAATTTCAGAGGTTATATTACCTTGATTGTGCTATAAATATTTTAAATGACCTCAAATGTTTAACCCATTCCTCAGCTCCTCACTCATCTCTGCCCTTATATAGTAGAATTACATAATTTGTATATTTAGCTTATTTGAATGTAGTTATCAATATAAGTGCTTCCTTCTGTCTTCATCTGTTTCCCATTTCTTTCTTAAATAATTCAAAATATTCTAAAATTAAATTTTGTTGTTATAGTTTCTCCCCATAATTTTTATTACTAAAGCAATATATGATCATTATAGAAAATGAGAATATACACAATAGACACTTTATTGAATATTTTAAAGAACTGTATTACATGATTTGACTTACAAACTGAATTCTCTCTCTTCCTTTCCTTCTTTCTTTTCTCTCTCCATTCCTCCCTTTCCTTCTTTAATTTTCTGTCTCTGTCTTTAAGCCCAACATTGAAAAAAAAAAAAGACATGACTTATTCAATAATAGAGTTGGGAAAAAACTAAGTATGTATCAATATCTATGCTATGTACCAGGGTGGGCACAAAGCATAAATTTAAGGACGAACCAATTATTATCATGCTGGAGAGAAGAGCTTGGGAAGGTATTAGCAGACTCAATGAAATGATAATAGAAAACAGTTATGTTAAATGCCAAGTGAATGACATGGACAAAAGGGTTCTGTGGGTGTTTAGAGGCAGACAAGACCTTTGCTTCTCAAAACGGCTCTTCTCCTGCCTAGTCACCTCAGTAAATAGCATCACCATGTAACCCAGTCTCTCAAGCCAAAGCTTACTAGTCATCCATAAATCCTTCTTCTCTCACACATCCCACAGTCAATATGTCCCTAAGTTCTGCCAAGTTTGGCTTCAAAATGTATTTCAGTTTCATTCACTTTTCTCTATCTCTGGCCTAGTCTAAGCTGCCATCATTTTTTCACCTAGATGACCACAATGACCTTTTAGTTGTTTTCCTCCCTTCACTCTTACACCACACTCGATTTTCTATAGAATTTAAATGAGATCATATGATTCCTCTGCTCAGAATCCTATAATGACTTCTCATTGTAGTTAGAATAAATTCCATATTCCTTACCATGGCTCCCATCCATACCCCATGGTTATGATCAGGCTCCTCTATACCTCTACAATCTCATCTCAGGCCACTCACAACCTCATCATTATACTTTAGCCATACCTGTCTTCTTTCACTTCCTCAAAAGTGCCAAGCTTTTTCCTCCTACAGGGCCTTTGTACTCGCTAATTTTACTCCTTGAATCTCTTTCCCTCTATTTCTCACATGGTTGGCTTCTTCTAATCCTTTAATTCTCAGTTTAATTGTTTCTTCTCAGTGAAACCATCACTAAGGTCCTGTCAATTACTGTTTCTTTGTTTCCTTCATAGCACTTTATCTAAATGTGTGATTATTTTGTTGGCTTGTATATGTGTTTTTTCAATCTCCTTCATTAGAATGTAAACTTTATAATAGCAGGAACAAGGTCTATCATGTTCATCATTGCAACCTTAGCACCTACTGAGTGAATAAATGAATCACTAGGCTGAAGTGGTCAGGAAAGGCCACCTTGAGGAGAAAGAGCTTGAAGTGGAATTTGAAAAATTGAAGTATAGGCAGAATTTTCATAATCAAGAATAAGGAAAGAATTCAAGATAGTAGTAAAAGTGAAGTTGTAAGGCAAAAAACCAAAAAAACAAAAACAAAAACAACAACAACAAAAACATGGTTCTGGCACATTTGGGCAACAGTAAAAAATGAAAGGTGCCTGCAGTGGAAGGTTAATAACATAGGAATAATAGGTTTGTTACTTGTTTGAGGTATAATTATTAATATGTTGAGTCTTAAATATTACCTTTTTTTCCTTTCGATGTGGGCAATAGAAGACATTGAAAATTTTGGAACAGGATCATGGTGTAGTGTTTTAAGAAGGATTTCTGAAGAAGAAATTATTATAAAAGTTTATGGAAAGTATTTCTTAAGCAGAATGGATTTGTCCCACTAGTTAAATGGCTATAGAATAAAAATTTAACACACGTGAGTCAGAAAGGTTTCTTTTGGCTCCAAGACCCTAGAATTGTCTAAAGTGTTTGCTGAGATGATTTGAAAACAAAGATGCAGGGATAAGAAGTATACATAGATGAACTTTTGCTTTTTTTCTCTAATAGAGAGCTAATGAACCATGAAGGGTCAAGGTAGATGAGGAGAAAATACACAAACTTTATCTCCTGCATTTGAATAAATGGGAGGTTACAGTATTAGAAGAACTGATGTTTAGTTTCAAAAAAGTTTCAGAAGAGACACTGTCTGATTTACAAACTTTAGTTCTGAAAATTAGATTGTTATGGCTAGATTACAGTGGATACAGTTTTTGGAAATAGGCTAACTCATCCATAGTGCTTGAAAGAAATAAAATGCAAATTGTGAAATAGAATGTTCAAACTCTTTTGGTACCCTAGTCAGGCAAGGCTCTGCAGAAATACACTATACTCGTTCCTGATTCCACCCTTTGTTCATGCTATTTTCCTAGTCTCAGAACCCCTTCATCTCTTCTCTTGCCATCTACAAATTACATATCCTTCAAGCTCTTCTAGCCAGCCTTCTCTGAACACTACTTTCCTGGAGTGCTAGTTTTTCACAATTCTTATGGTAATCAGAGACTGTAGTATAGCACTCAATTTGGCACTGTTCTGTGTTGTTCATGAATTGTTTCATAAATGTTCTTTTCTGTCTACTCCTATTGGAATTATATTATGTAAACTCTATCACAAGATTGAATACACCATTGTGGGTTGATAACAGCTTGTAGAATTGGTTGAGTAATGGATAATTTATAAGTTAGGATTAGTAGAGAGATATAGTGTCAGGTGTCTAATATACTATCTCAAAATAGTCATAGAATATTACATTACATTAAGAAGGAACACACCATTGGTGAGGAGACAAAAGCCAAGAGAGCTTCAATGTGTTGGTAAAGATCAGAGAGCTAGTTACTGGCAAAGTTTGGCCTATATCCTAGTCTCTGCTTCAGATTCATGAAATTTGGTCATTTTGGAGGCATATACCACAGGCAAATAAAGTTCTTACTAGTAGTATTTCCTGACAGGTTTTGATGGCACATCAAAATGAGTGAAGTGAAAAATGCTCTGGGTTCCCCAAAACAAAATTCCCCTTCAAATTAAGTTATCTAGAAGAATATCCTTTCTAGGGACCCCTAAGGCAGGCAGGCAGGCCTTCCATTTGCTTCTTTCTTCTCTGAGTCAGAAAACCTGAAGTCAGAACAATTCCCAGGCTATAATCAGGGATACAGGCAAACAAAGTAACATTGTCATTTGGAATCTCATGATGATAGGATCTGCTGGTTTTACTGAGAAACCCCTCAAAGATAACCGAGTTTTAGAGGAATCTGTTTAGTTGAATTATATAATATTATACACCTAATTGTATTTAAGATCAGATCCCTAATTTCTAAAACTGTTTCAATATAATATGTCCTCAATATTAAAAACAATATTTTAAAAAAATCCCTTCCTAACTGGTTTGGCTCAGTGGATAGAGCATCAGCCTGTGGACTGAAGGGTCCCAGGTTCAATTCCAGTCAAGGGCATGTACCTTGGTTTCGGGCACAACCCCAGTAGCGGGTGTGCAGGAGGCAGCTGATCCATGTTTCTCTCTTGTCAATGTTTCTGACTCTCTATCCCTCCCCCTTCTTTTCTATAAAAAAATCAGTATATATACACATTCCCAAAACCCAGATTAGCCAATCTCCACTCATTATTTCCATCAAATCATTGTTGAGGCTCTATAATCTGAAGAACTAATATGATCTGATGAAACAAGCCCTGGATGCAGGAAATATTGACACCAGTCTTAATTCTATGGTTAAGCTGTTGTGTGAAAAAGCACTTTTTTTCTCACACTTATTTGATTGTGAATAAGATATAATTAATTTTAAAGAATTAAAGACATATAAAAAAAAGGGGGCAAAAGCACTTTTTCTCTTTGGGCTCTAGTTTTCTCATCTATGAAATGGGGTTAATTATAGTTTTTGATAGGATTAATTATGTATAACTTCCCAGGTCAGGCCTCTCTCTATTTAACTGTGTATTTTAGACCAGAAAAAAAATATTTGGGAGGAGGGCTCTTTTTCAACAACAGTGACTCAACCAGGAGGGTATCCCTAACCCCTTTTCAGAGTCAGAGGTAGGAGGATATATATAGTTTGAAAATTAGCTTCTAAAGTTACCATTGCTTCAAACTTTTGGTGTTAATGTTCAATTTGTTTTGAATTTTAAATATAATTTTAAAAGAGTATTAGATTTTATTAAATGTAAAAGGGAACAAACATCAGTTGAGCAAGGTTAAACACCACTGTTAATATGAATATTAACAATATGAATATTTAAAGAGAGCAGATGCCTCTTCTTACCTCTTTCTGTGTCATAGAGATACACAAACTTCTCCCACTTGTAGTGACCCAGAAGACTCAGAATAGCACCCTTCAAGGCTGGGCGCATCTGGATGACAAACTGCACATCTGCATCAGTGGGGAAGCTGGGTGTGACAAAAGATGTGTGCAGGGCCCCACAGAAGGAGGTCAGAGTGTTCATTGACATCTGGTCATAGAATCCAAAGATGGCGTACACCCCTCTCGAGAACTGGGAGCAGACTGCAATGAGAAAAAGAGAAATTTCAATAGCACCATGGTCCCTTGCTGCAACATATAAGGTTGGAAATACAATGTACAGTTAAGTTTTGGTTCTAAATGACGTGCCTCAAAAGAAAACCAAGATCTCTGAAATCTCTGGAAGCACTTAAAAGCCCAGTTGCACAGCAGAAGAGTAAGGAAGGGAAGAATTTATTTCATCCAATTGAATATTCTCTCTCTCTCTCTCTCTCTCTCTCTCTCTCTCTCTCTCTCTCTCTCTCTCTTTTAGAGAGAGAAAAGCATGGATTAATTGCCCCCCTTACATGCTCCGATCACCTGATTGGGAACCAAACCCACAACCCTTTATTGCATGGAATGATACTCTAGTCAGCAGAGCCACCTGGCCAGGGCCAGTTGCATGTACTTTATATCTACCATAAGAAGGAAACTAAGAAAGTGTGAGAAGAGGTGAAGGTTGTTTTATCCTCACTTAGCAACCCTCACAGCTAACCTCCAAGGAACTCCATCCTTTCATATTTCCACCATAGCTGCCTAGAGACCTTATAGTACACCCATACTCCCATCAAGAGATTACTATCTTGTGTCTTACCCTTTCATTCCATTTTCTATGTGACAATAATTACTGATGATTTAGTCAGACAAACTGCTAATGTGTCTGCTAGGAAATGGGTTGATCCTCTTGGGTCACATAATGATTTAATTATAGTTATATTATGACTAATACCCTTAATTTAGGTTCCTGATACTGAGAATTTCAGATTCTGGGCAAGTCATTGGGAAGACTGGCCTTCAAGTGCCCAGTGAATCACATGAGGTAGGTGGACTTTTTCTGCCAATGTGTAATTGGCAAAGTGCTATCTGATCCTTTTGCATTTTTCTTCTAGATTTATTAGCCTACATATAGAGCTTTCATGTCCTCTTCATAATTGTGGTAAGCTTTACTTCATTTCAAAGTGTACCATACCACCATCTCTTCCCTCTTCTGGCCTAGATGAACTTAAAAAAATGTGAACCAATTTCAATATTAGCTTAAGTAGAACATAATTAGCAAAGCAAATCAACTACAACAACACCGTGTGGTGCATTCCCAAACCAAGTGGAAATGATCTTTAGATTATCTGCACTACTGCTTCCTTCTATTCATGTGAAGCAGAGAGAACAGGCAGATAACGTGGTGTAATTTAATGGTTTCTGCATGGTCTCCCTTATCTGTTAGGAAGCCACTGCTAAGCTTACTTTTTCAGGTTTAGGTGTTGAAAAAAGCCTGTGACTTGAGAGGAGGATTCAATAGAATCCTTTAAACCTATTAGTATGTTAAGATGAAATAATGTCTAATTAGATGCTAGGAGGCGTGGCAAAGCAGATGGGTAAATATTGATGGGGATGAGTGGGTCAGAGAAGAGAATATAAAGAATCTGAAGACCTCCCTGAGGGGAGAAAAAGTTAAGCCATTGTGCACCAAAAGAAGGAAGGCATTGATGTTAGGATAAAGCCAAATGGAAAACCAATTTAATTCATTCTTGGTCTCCTTGTGAGAATCAGAGACTTCTCAGTATCTTTGGTATCTTGCTTTCCATGCATTCCATTTAAACTTATTAATTGTTTTTCTTTATTGATTATGGTGTTACATATGTGTCCTTATCACCCCGTTGCCCCCTCTCCCCACCACTCATTCCCTCATCCCGCTGGTGTCTGTGTCCATTGGTTAGCCTTATATGCATGCATACAAGTGCTTTGGTTGATCTGTCCCCCTTACCCCTCCCTCTCCTACCTTCCCTCTGAGGTTTGATGGTCTGATAGATGCTTCTCTGTCTTTGTTTTTGTTTATCAGTTTATGTTGTTCATTATATTCCATAAATGAGTGAGATCATGTGATATTAACCTTTCTCTGACTGGCTTATTTCACTTAGCATAATGCTTTCCAATTCCATCCATGCTGTTGCAAATGGTAAGAATTCCTTCTTTTTTACAGCAGTGTAGTATTCCATTGTGTAGATGTATTCAATACCATAGTTTTTAATTGACTCATCTGCTGATGGGCACTTAGGCTGTTTCCAAATCTTAGCTATGGTAAATTGTGCCACTATGAACATAGGGGTACATATTTCCTTTCTGATTGGTGTTTATAGTTTCTTGGGATATATTCCTAGAAATGGGATCACTGGGTCAAATGGAAGTTCCATTTTTTAGGGTTTTTTCTTTTTTGAAACTCCACACTGTTCCTCACAGTGGCTGCACCAGTCTGCATTCCCACTAGCAGTGTACAAGGTTTCTCTTTTCTCTGCATCCTCCCCAGCACTTGTCTTTTGTTGATTTGTTGATGATAGCCATTCTGACAGGTATGAGATGGTACAGCATTATTGTTTTGATTTGCATCTATTGGATGGTTAGTGACTTTGAGCATATTTTTTTTGTCCTCTTTTGAAAGGTATCTATTTAAGTCCATTGCCCTTTTGTTAAGTTGTATGAGTTCCCTGTAAATGTTGGATTTTAAATCCTTACCAGTGATAACATTGGCAAATACTGTATGTTTTCCCATTCAGTGGGATTTTTTGTTGTTTTGTTGATGGTTTCTTTTGCTGTGCAAAAGCTTTTTATTTTGATGTAGTCTTATATTGATTAGGGATGCTTCCTTTTATCAGCCAAACTTATTAGTCATTGGTTTGAAGGTAGCATTTCAAATGTGATTATCAGTAACTGAAGTATTTGCATCAGGGAAGATAATAGCCTCTAACTTGAGGAATTCTAGGCTCCCCCCCCCCCTAAAAAAAAGCACACAAAAAAACACACATTCACAAAAATATTTATATTAAAAGGAGAAAGCCAACTGGAGAATGAACCTGGGGCTCCTCACAAAGGAATATTCAGAAACAAAAAGGAAGTGGCTAGATGCCACTTTGCCTTGGTCGTCACCAAAAGAGATACTAGGGAGAGCCCCATTCCCAAATTAACCCTGTATATGGAGAGTTTTTCAGTACCAGGTCAAATCTTGACCAGCTCACATAATGTTCTGTATAAAATTGACAATAATAACAGCCACAGAGTGCTTAGTAAGTACCAGGCACTGTGACAAGTACTATACAAATATTATCTCATTTGATATTTCCAACAACCTCATGAGGTAGTGCTATTATTTCTATTTCAGAGATAATTCTGAGACAAAAATTATTTTATCTCTTGTGTGGAGAATCCAGGATTTGAACCTGAGTCTGTCCGACTCACACTTCTTGGGTCCCAAAACCAACAATGAATAACAATGAAGAGTAATTATTGGCCTGAATGAGATAGAGTTTTTAGGTTTAGCAAATAAAAATATAGCATGTCCAATTAAATTTGATTATCAATTAGTTCTATTATAAGTAAGCCTCAAATCATACATATATTAAAAATTATTTATTTAAAATTTAAATTTAGCTGAGAATCTTGAATTTTATCTGGCAACCCTAGAAAGAACCTGTCCTTTTTACTGATCATGGGGCTGGAAAACTGGAACAAGCAAATGATTCAGAAGGCAGCCAGTAATTTTTAGACCCATATCTACTAACCTGCAGGGCCCAAGAGAAAGATGAGGACTTATGATCCCTATACAAACATAGCCTCATGGGAAAATACAACTTATTTTCAACAAGGAGAACCTAATCTGTCTAAACTATGAACAATAATTGAGGGGGAAATAAAGTTGGAGAGAGGAAAAAGAGATACTAGGGAGATCTATAGCTATCATGCACTTACAGTTTCAAAAAGCTCTTGATGCATTGTAAAAAATAAATAAATAAAAGTAAGGACTTTTTTGGTAAAAGCTCTCAGCAAAGTGGGAATAGAGGGAACATATCTTAACATGATAAAAGCCATATACAACAGATCATCAACAAACATCATACTCAATGGGCAAGAACTAAAGCATTTCCCCTAAGAACAGGAACAAGGCAGAGATATCTGCTTCACCACTCTTAAACAATGTAGAATTGGAAGTCCTAGCCACAGCGATCATACAAGAAGAAGAAATGAAAGGCATCCAAAGTGTAAAGGAGAGAGTAAAACTCTCATGATTCACAGATGACATGATATTGTATTGATACATAGAAAACCCTAAATACTCCACCAAAAAACTATTATATTTAATAAATGAATTTGGCAATGTAGCAGGATACAAAATCAACACCCCCCAAATTTTTATGGCTTTTTTTATACACCAATAATGAATTCTCAGAAAGAGAAACTAACAATCCCATTTGCCATTGCAACAACAACAAAAAATTAAGATACTTAGGAATAAACTTAACAAAGGAGACAAAATACCTATGCTTGAAAAGTACAGGACATTGAAAAAAAGATATAGAGGAAGATATAAACAAGTGGAAGAATATACAAGGCTCATGGATTGGTAGAATCAACATCATTAAAATGTCCATGATACCCAAAGCAATCTACAGATTCAATGCAATCCCTATTAAAATACCAAGAGCATATTTCACAGAGCTAGAAAAAATACTCCAAAAATGTATATGGAATAAAAAAAGACCCCAAATAGCTGTAGTGATCTTAAGGAAAAAAAACAAAGTTGGAGGAATCGTAATACCACATTTAAAGTTATACTACAAAGCCACCATAATCAATACAGCCGGGTACTGGCACAAGAACAGGCATATAGATCAATGGAACAGAACAGAGAACTCAGAAATTGACCCAAGCCATTATGCTCAATTAATATTTGACAAAGGAGGCAAGAACATACAATAGAGTCAAGACAGTCTCCTCAATAAATGGTGTTGGGAAAATTGGACAGATACATGTAAAACAATGAAACTAGACCATCAACTTATACCATACACAAGAATAAACTCAAAATGGATAAAAGTCTTAAATGTAAGTTGTGAAGCCATAAAAACCCTACAAGAAACCATAGGCAGCAAAATCTCAGACAACTCTTGTAGCAATATGTTTATAGATATATCTCCTAAGGTAAAGGAAACTAAGGAGAAAATAAACAAATGAGACTA